GCCCCATGACCACGAGCCACCTTCAGAGACGTAACACAAGTAAAATACTTAAGAGGAACAAGAGTTTGGTAATTACTTTTGAGAGCTAAATTTAGAATCTGTCAGAAGAAAAGCAGATGAATCTCTCCTATAGGTTTTTAGAACTACTAGTGTCTTCATTATCAGTCCTAGGCAATGATCGTATTTGAGACATTTGATTAGTAAATGAGACATTTTGAATTTATAAGGATATTACAGAACTTTTCACCTTCCAAATGGCTGTATTTGTGATATTTATTATTTGACTGCTAGTTTAATAGCACCTTATAGGTAGTATAATACCTCATATGGGTAGAAGGACCTTGAACATTTAAATGCTTTGTAAATGAAGAATCACTATTATTATATTATTGCAGTGTTAAGAATTGTGTTCACATGGACAAATGAAATATTCATAAATATGACCCAGTGATGGGTGTCATTTTAAAAAGTAATGATAGCCTGGTGGCAAATTTTCCATTCCCCAAATTAAAACCAAAGGTGGTGATTTAAGAATGCCTTCAGTTTATTTGAACTGAGTTATTGTTTGAAAAGGCAATGTGGGTTTTTCACACAAAGACATGCTAAGGTCCTTTCATTAATTTTTGCTGCTACTTTGGAAAGAGCTTGTCACTCTTGGAGTATCGTCTGTTATACCACTCACATTAAACATTGGCTATGGCAGAAGAGTTAATGAGAAACCCTACAAACCTCATATCCAAAGAAGTGGCCCTTTTAAGTTGTCAGAAGTTGGCAAATACTGCCTGGCAGTATTTTTGAGTGCCCAAATAGAATACCTGCTTTATGGCTTTGCCTCATTGTCCATTCTCTTTGCTTATCTCTTTTCAGCAAAATAGCAATGTTATTAAGGGTGACGTAATAATGGAAAATCACATTAGCCCTTAAAACTGTTCTTTTTTTAATGGGAATATAAACAATGGCAGTATGATCATATGATGGTCTCATCTTCCTCCCCATTCTACTGGGAATACTCCGTGTAATATCAGGTGGGCTGGGTGGTAACAGCATGTCAAGGCTCATGGCTGGTGGAGACCCCTGAGTGTGGTCTGAAGGGCTGAGCCTCGAAAATGACAGAATCTGCTGTGGAAAGGAGCAGGTGCGGTCACTATTCACTGAGAGAGCAGACAGCAGGGGTGGGGTTAGTGTTTGGTCACTTGATTGTCACCCATGTAAGTGCTCCTCCATCCGGTAAAGTATTTTCCCACAGGGCTTAGAATGTGAAAGTACTGTTTACCTAAAATCTCTTATTTCTGGAATATGATGTCTCTTTGTATTCATAATTAGAGGAGAATTGTTTGTCATTTGGGATTTTTTGGGGGGCAGGAGATGTGACATGGAGTCAGAAAAGGCTTAGGTTTTCTTTGTTGCATATCACAAATATGAGAGTCCATTTGTTCCTATTTACTTGTAAAATTCACTGTTAAGTCTGGGTGGAATTTTAAAACTACCCTACCCCCCCACCCCCCGCCCATGCCTTTATAGAATCTCAGAAAACAGGAAAAAATGTCAAGAAACTTTTAGGACTAATATATGAAAGTAATTTGAATTACATTTAGTGACTATAGAAATTTAGTGTGTTTTTAAAAAGGTTTATTTATTTATTTGAGAGAGAGACAGAGGGAGTGGGTGGGGAAAAGGGCAGAGAGAGTGGGAGAGGGAGAGAGAGTTCTAAGCAGACTCCGTGCTCAGCGCAGAGCCTGTGCAGGGCTTGATCTCGCGACCCTGAGATATGACCTGAGCCGAAACCAAGAGCTGGGTGCTCATCTGACTACACCACCCGAGCACCCCTAGAAATTTAGTGTTTGAGGTTGTTTCCTTAATCAAAACTAATACTGATTATTAGTATTTTATCTAGCTATATATAGTTTTAACATATATATAGCTAGATAAAATATACTTTCCTAAAAAATCCAAAGATTGAGTATTCATTAGATTAAATGTCTATCCATTTTAAATGAAGAGACAATACCCTTGGCCATTTAGTTTTAATACTCAAAAGTGAAATAGGTGGGGCGCCTGGGTGGCTCAATCATTTAGACTCTTGATTCCAGCTCATGTCATGGTCTCAGGGTCATGAGATTGAGCCCTGAGGCTGGCTAAACTCTCAGCAGGGAATCCGCTTGAGATTCTCTCCCTCTCCCTCCGCCCCTCCCCACCCTACTCTCTCTCTCTAAAAGAAGATAAATGAATCTTAAAAAAAAAAAAAGTGAAATAGGCATAACAATAAGAATGTACTTAACCCTACTGAACTGTATTCTTCAATATGTCTAAGGTGATAAATTTTGTGTATTTTACCACAACTTTAAAAAAAAAAGTGGACCAAATACTTCCTCTATTACAGAAAAAGTATCCCGAGTCTCACTTGGGGCAAACATTTTGAAGGGTTCTAGGTGAAGACTAAACTCAAAGACACAAACTCCTGCTTTAGAGTCACAGAAGGCAATAGCTTAAAGGCATTTTTGGAAATCAGGGAGTCCACCTTCTCTTTTCCTAGACTTGGAAAATATAGCCCAGACAGGTAGAGTGACTAATCTAAGATCATACAGATCGTGCAACAGAAGGGGGAATAGATACCCAGTATCTCTACACTCCCAGTCTTGGCTCTAACTGCTGCATTCTTCTGTCCTGGTCAGTAAATCAGCATTGACCCCTCTCCTTAAACACCATATATTTTGTGTGTGGGTGCACTCAATACTGTCAGTTTGATCATTTTTTTTTTCTACTTTGTCTCCATTTTCCTCTTTTCCCACAGTAACTTCATTTACATTCCATTTTTGCAAATATTTTCTATTTCTTTTCCTTTTCACCAACTTTAGGAAACTAGGCCTTATACAATGGCAAGCTGATTTTTTTCTAGGATAGGCAAAACAAAAGCAAAAACGGTTGTTTTCCTGTTATCGTTGGCATAAAATACATTAGAGATATATGTTATAGTTTATAACAAACTTTCATATATATTTTGTTTTTTTTTCATTATGTTCAATTAGCCAACATATAGTACATCATTAGTTTTTGATGTAGTGATGAGCACTGGGTGTTATATGCAACTAATGAATCGTTGAACATTACATCACATATATTTTCTATTTGATCCTTTAAGGGCAGATAACTTTAGAATGCAAGACCCATGAGGGAGAGGCCTTAGCTGGTTTGTTTTCATTGCTATGTCCTGGTACCTGAAATAGTGCCTGACACGTAGTCATTATTCAATAAACATTTGCTGAATGAATAAATGAGTATTACTCTCATTTTAGAAATGAATATTTGCTTGATTAACATGTATATATTAGTGGCAGAGGCTGGACTCAAGTCTAGTGTTCCTGATTCCAAAGCCAGTGCACCTTGCAAATCAAGACAGATTTATAAAATATGAAGAGATGATGTGAAAGCAAAACAGGTGTGGAGGAAAGACTTAAGAATATTGCATCTGAGATCATAATGGCATAGGGGCCAAAGAAGACGGTTGATATTAATAGACAAAAGGAAATTGTGGGCTGGAGACGTGGGATATGGAGAACTCAGGGTAGAGGGAATCAGAATTGAGATTATATGAATGTGCCATTGAAATGGATTCAGTAAATTGGAGGAGAGGATTCTGATTCCTCCCTTCTCTTTACCCCTCCCTGTATGCTTCCCTCCGCAGTAAGAGCGAAGACACCCAGGCCTAATTTCAGCCATAAATGATGCCTAAACAAACACATAAAACAAGAAACAAACAAAAGCCCTCTATATGGCTACAAAATATTTATTTATGAGGCTGCTACATCAATAACACTAATTATACTGTAATTGCCAAGAACTGAAATTAATGTGATTTTGTGAAAATCCACAATCAATCTCAGGCCTAATTTCTGTGAATGAATGCACTCTGAACAAAATTTCAGTTTAGAGAGCATATTTCATTCTTAGAGTACTTGGCAAAATGACATCAGGGAGGAGAATTGTAAGATGTAATAGTATACTTCAATCCTAAACTATAAAGGCAATAAAGTCAGTCCATTCACTACTGCCTGATTATAAAGCAGCTCCTTAACGGTTGCACAGTGAAACTGGTTCTGTGAATTATCAGACCTTACCTCTAGCCATGAGAAAATTCTCAGGATAGCAGACTGAAAAGTTCAGTGATTGCAGCATCATAATAATATTTCCCCAGCCATACATAGAGGTACAGTAAAATTGAGTTATTTTCTGTTTAGATAGCAGGTGTAAATGAGAGAGACAAAGGGCCTTTCTCCTGAGCTGCTTCAGCATATGGAAAGGAAAATGTATTTTACACAGTTCCCAGTGTGAACGTTATGTTCTCTACTTTGTGGTTAATTTTGAGCAACACTTGTGGTCTTGCTTAAGATTTTAAAAATCCATCTCACTTTCATTTTGTGAATGCTTCTTATCTAGAGTGTCATTCTAATACTGTGGAACTGGAATGGAGCTAGACCTCTTGTTTGTATTTCAGAGACTAAACAAGAGCTGCTGAAAATAAGGGACCATATTCTAAACATTCAATTTTAGCATGGAAAACACTGTTTACACGGTCCACAATAATGGCAGCTGTTTCAGCTATTTAAATAGTATAATTACACATTTCATTCCAGAGCATAACAGTAACAGTTTACTAGCAAATCTCAAATTGAATGTACTCGTTCCTGTATAAACATGTACAGGTAACCTATCAATAGTTACTGCCAATTATATCTGAACTATAATTTGGTCTTTATTGGAGCCGCAGTGCTTGAAAAGAATACTTTCCTTGGGAACATTGAACCTTCCTCTATCCCCCCAAACGATAAAAAAAAAAATACAGTTGTCAGCATAATGTCTTGACATTCATGATGCCAGCCTGTCTTTACTGGTGTCAGATGTGAAAATAAATAGATATTAAACTGTCAGTCAATGAAATTGCAAAGTCAAGAACAGCTCTAGCTGTGATCCTGGTGTGTTCTATTTGATGGACACAGGTGTTTAAGTGTTATGAATTCAACAGGGCCAGGGAACAAGAGAAACATTTTCCAGCAGTTTTCTATTTGCTAAAACATCAGAGATGAACTTTCCTACATCTCAGGACTTCAGTAGAATCTCAGAGGCTTGAAAAAGTGCCAAGAATTCCCCCACTGTTATCAGTGCTAAAATGTGAAAAGTTGGCCCTAATTCCTGAAGGTATATTCTGTTATCATCTATGTATGCAAGGTCTCCAAAGCCAAATAAAGGGCAACTCCATTGGCCTTGAACGCACATTTGTGACAGACACTAGACACCCACCTAGTTTATTATTCATAAGACACTTAAAGCCAGTCCTCTGTCACTAATAAACATTAACAGTATTAAAAATTAACAATCATCTTACAGCATGATGAGACCACCACTTCCTTCTGCTTGATGAGTACTGGAGCAAAGCACATAATATTCATTTATAACACTTACAACTTTAGCCATTGTTGTTATTATCATTGCTGTTATTATTAGCAATATTATGGTGTTGGCCTATGTGAGAGATCTCATCCTCTTGATGATACAAATTTGTCATTCTTCAATAAGTAGCATTAAATTTGTATCACAACAAGTATCGTTAAATTCTCTTACCAGAGAATGATGCTCTATAATGACATCATAAACAAAACCCTGTACTTGAATAGTAACTAGCCATATGAAGAAAGAACTGGATCCTTGTTGCTCTAGGACTCTTATACTGCACCATTGATCAGTTCGCAAAGTAGTGTTCTCAAATATCAAGACTTACAGCTGGTGATTTTTGTGCCAACAGCTAGTTTAGATGTCTGCAGTGATCAAACTGAAATGTTGCCCAAGGCTGATAAAACACAATTTATATTCCTGTGATAATTTATTAAATTGTATGTAGAAAATCCTAGGTTGAGCATTTCCCTGATAATTCTCTTGGAATTATAATTTTCTTTTGGTGTCTGCTTCTGTAAGGACCTGAGCCAATGCAGTTAGAAAAGGCAGCTTAGAAAGATTACTCCAGTAGCTAATTGGAAAATGACATTTGACAGAAACAAATCTTACCAGATCAGATTAAATGCCTCATTCTGATTTGCCTTCAAATCAATATCCATGTTCAAGCATTTCCAAACTTGGGGACGGATGGTGTTGGCAGTGACTTGCAACTGAAATCAGGACGGATACAGATGATGAGCAATAGCACCAAAAGAGTTGGAAATACAGCTAGCATCTCCTAGCAATAAAGGCTATTTTCCTGCTTCCGGAATAAAAACCTGTTATGCCTCCTTTTTCATTAAGGTGTTTTGTATTATTTTCTTATCATCACTTTATCGACAAGGATAGGCATTTTTTTCTGTTTGCTCTTCCTCATCTTGTTCTTCGTGGTAGACTGTAAAAATGGCCACACTTCTTTATTTCTACATCCTTTTGAAGTATGTTTGCCATTTCTCCCATCAGGAGGTAAGTCTATTTTCTCCCCTGTTAAATCTGGCTACCCTTGTGATTGGCTTTGACCAATCAGGGGGAAAATGGTGATAGTATGTCAGTCCGTGCCTTGATCTCAAGAGCCCTGTCAAGCTTCTGCTCACTCTCTTGGATTCCTTCAGAGCTGCGACGTGAGCAAATCTGGACTAGCCTGCTGGGTGATGAGAGACACATGGTCCAAGTACCATTAGCACTCCAGCTGACAGCCAGACAACCACCAGAAGCTAACTGGCAGCTGACTAAAAATATCAAGAGTAGGTCCAACTGAGTCCTGAAAAATCACCCACCTGAGCCTGGCCTAAATTACTGTCCCACAGAATTGTGAGTTAACTGAATGGTCGTTGGCTTATTTTTTTTTTTAAGATTATTTATTTATTTTAGAGAGAAAGGGAGAGAGAGAGAGAGAGTGAGCAGGGGAGGGGGCAGAAGGAGAGAGAGAATCCTCAAACTGACTCCACGCTGAGCATGGAACCGGACAAGGGGCTCTATCCCAGGACCTAGAGATCATGCCCTGAGCCGAAATCAAGAGTAGGCTGCTTGGCAGCCTGAGCCACCCAGGTGCCCCAAATGGTTGTTGTTTTAAAGCACAGCAAAAACTAACAGTCTCTTTTTAACTCATTACAATGTAGTTTTGGTCTTCATCAACCAACTTACCTTGTCATGGTCTTCAAATAGTAACTATGGTTGCCAGTTTTAATGTTCTAATTGTAATTCTTGTCCTACATCCCTTCTCTGCTGCAATGCTAACTTCTCTTTTCTTACAAGACAGCAGGACAGTCTTCTTTCTACTTCTTTAGTGACAGATCTAGTTGTTTCTTCTGGTTGCTCCTTATATGTTGGGGTTCTTTAGGGATCTGGTCTTAATCATTTTCTCTATCTATATATGATGTCCTTGAGTGCTTTCATTCATCTGGGTATTCTAAACTTGTATGTATTCAGACATATAATGTGCATCAATTGACCCTGTCAGCTATATGGGGTAGCCCAATTGAGATATTTAGCAAGTGCCTGGAACTGAAAATAAATTTGAATTTTAAGTCATAATTCACTTTCCCTCCAAATGTTTTGTGACTCTGGTAGTCATAAATTTCCAATCTAGATACCTCAGAGTCATCCTTGTTCCTTTCCTAAATGTTCCTTTTGACATTGAAACTTCCATCTTTCCTTAGCTTATGACCACAAAACATCAGCTCAGACTTTGTGGCCAGTCTTTTCCCAGTATTACCAGAGTTATATTCCCAAATAAAATGTCATTATCCTCCTTATGGCCCCTGCTACACGTAAAATCTAAACACTTTACTATGTATTTTCAAATCAGAAAAACTTGCTTTAAAGTCAGCCTTCCAACATAATAGGCCTCTGACCTTGGTTAACTTTGTAGCTTCTCTGAGCTTCCGTTTCTCTATATGTATAATATACTTTAAGTCATTCTGACCATTGAAAGACAAACTTTAGGTAAGGCTCTTATCAGAAGGAATAGCATATAGTGAATATTTATGTTTCACCTAAATTTCACAGTCTGCCTCTAAGTTACTTCCCTAACATCATTTCTTGCTTAACCCCCCTCCCCCAATCTGTATTTTCCCCTTTACTCCTGGCCTTGAAATATCTAGTGTATTGGCCACACTTAGTTTGGCACCAGTTCCTAAGTAGTCTACCATATTTTATTGATTTTAAGTTTTTTTTTTAAAGATTTTATTTATTTATTTGAGAGAGAGAGAGACACAGCAGGAGAGGGAACACAAGCAAGGGGGTGTGGGAGAGGGAGAAGCAGGCTTCCCGCGGAGCAGGGAGCCCGATGCAGGGCTCGATCCCAGGACCCTGGGATCATGACCTGAGCCAAAGGCAGATGCTTAACGACTGAGCCACCCAGGCACCCCTGATTTTAAGATATTTTTAACATCTCTAATATGAGGGTATATCTTACAATTAGTGGCATATGATAATTTAATTGGTAGCTTTATTTGTTCTGTTTTATTTTGATAGCACTTACATGGTGTATACGTGAAATATGATACTTGTTTTCTGATTCCTTGCCTTTGTTCATTTTTCCTAGAATAATGTTCTTTCCTTAACTTCTGGGTAAACTCAGGATTTTCGGACTTGCTCAGACATTTCTTCCCTCTCAGTTTTCCATGTTTCTACAGCCCACTTTCTGTAACTCTCTATCTGCTTAGGGTTAACTAACTATACAAGTAGAAGGAACACAGTCCACACAAGACCCCACTGAATTCTGACACTACCTGCATATTCTGGGGGTTCCCCTAACCACCAGGAATTTCAATAATTCTCCAGAAGTGCTACAGAACTCAATGAAAGCTGTTATACTTGTGGTTATGGTTTATTACAGAGAAAAGATACAAATTGGAATCAGCCAAAGGAAGAAGTGCAGAGGACAGAATCCAGGAAGATATCAGAAACAGAGCTTCTTTTGTCTTGGAGTCAGGACACATTACTTTTCTGACATCAGTGTATGACAATATGCATGGAGTTTTACCAATCTAGGAAGCTTCCCGGAGCTCCAGAGTCCAGAGTTTTGTTCTTTTTTTTTTTTTTTTTTTTTTTCAGAGTCCAGAGTTTTAATTGGTGCTCCATCACCTAGCTATCATTGATTGATTGATTGATCGATTGCCAATATGGTGGATCTCCAGGTGACCCAAAGCTCCAACATTAAGCCATATTGTCTGTTGGTTTTTCTGGCATTGTCAGCTTCTACCTGAAATCATACTGCTAGACTATACAGCATGACCTCAGGCAAACAAAGACACCCCTATCAAATATGACATTCCAAAGGCTTAGAGATTACCTCCCAGCCAAGGACAAAAGTCAGACCTCTTTTTAGACAAGGTCAGATTCTTTATTACACACTATTATATACTTACTAGAAATTATTATCTTTCTATATGTCTTTTCTCTGTAGGCCAGATGCTCCCATAGGAAGAAGAGCACATATTTTTAAGTCAGATAGACCTATATTCAAATCCTGGATCCATTGCTTATCTACAGGATGAACTTGGGGAAGTAAAAAAGCTTTAGTTTTCTAATCTAAAAAATAGGTGAAAGTATATGAATATTATAAGATTATTCTAAGAATGAATTAGATAATATATATGGAATATTTATAGGAATATCTGACCACCATAATCATTTAATAGACAGTGGCAAATTATATGATTATTATCATTTTTCCTTTAGTATCCACACAGATTACAATTAACATCCCAATTCTTTTATTAGGAAAAGAGAGCAAAAAGTAACAAAGGAAAAAAATAAGCTTAAATAGCTCAGAGACTGAATCAAATTTCATTAAATATCATGTTTCAATCATAGATAATTTATATTAATCCCACAAGCTAACAACTTTATGCTTTAGATTATTATTTCTAAAATAGGAGATCTATGGTTACTAGGATATTGACAATACTGTGTGAAGAAAACTATAGTTAATAGCCATCTTCATTAAAGAAAATCAGCCTTTAAATTAAGTTAAATCAAGAACATCTACAAAAGAAAACTGAAGTTTCCAGATTAGTGATTGAGTATGAAAAACTAAATCCCAGACATAGGGTGAGCTTATAAATGATCTCCAACTTCCCTCAAAGGAAAAGCTTTTTGAACATCTACATAAATGGCATATCCAACTCTGCTTGAATACTCCCAATGTAAGCAAGAAAAAAGTGGCTTTGTCTCAAGATGGGTTTGATTTAAAATATTACCTTAAAAAATCTCTCCTGGACTTTCAATTCCAGGAAAATTATAAATAAAGCAATATGAAATTCTTTCTTACTACAAAACCGCACAAATGCATGATAAAATATAAAAATCAGCCTTGTAAAAGCTAAGTTCTTCAGAAATCTGGGAAAATCTCTAGCAACAGGGAATGAAGAAGAAAAGAAAAAGAGCTGAAAGCAAATGAACTGATGCTGAAGCTTTGCTAAGAGAGCCTTTCTATTGGGTATACAAATTTTTAGACTAACTTCTGGGTGGAAATAGGAGGCCAGATTATGGACCTATTCAAGGTAGAGAATGAGAACTGAGACTCACCAAAAAATTCAGGGCTAAGAAGGGCACTTAAGGAAAAAAAATGGAGAAAGTTGGAGCGGGGAGTGGGAAATCTACTAATGGCACAGAGCATGTGTAAAGAAACTTGAAACTTGCCCATTTTCACCTGGGATCTAGATAAAAGTCTCCTCTGAGATTTTTACCTATGGACCTACTCTTTTTAAGATTTGGAATTTAAATTTAGTCTATTCATGGGAGTTTGGGATTCCCCAAGTTAAAATAAGAAAAAGTAATGCAAAATTATTTCTAACTGATGATACCTCTGTGGCATCTGTAATATATACATTCAAATTCACGTGGGGGACATGTGCTCCAATCAGGCTACACAGGACTCCCACAGATAAAGTCCTGCTGAATATAACCTCACAATTCAACACTATAAACAAATAAGGAAACAAACAATGAGGGAGAGTTAGCAGGCATATTAAACATTAGTATTAAATCCTTATGAACCTTAGATATGGAACTAAGAAATTATGTTTAAAATTTAACAAAATGTGGAAGAAGGACATATAAAATAAAAAATACAATAAAATGCTATTAGAAAGGAACAGGAAGCAGATATGAAAAAGATTCAGGTAGAGCATCTATAAAAGAACAATATAGTCAGTGAAATTAAAAAGTCAGAGTTAAAGAGCATTTTACACAACATTTTACAAATTGCTAAGAGAGGGAGAGCAAGCACAGAAATGGATAATAGATGTGATGAAAGTTCTTTTTGACATATAAAGTAACATCAACAGGTTTTGAGGATTAGGACATGGATCCCTTTGGGGGTCATTAATCAACCTACCACAAGAGTTTGTGCCT